TGTTCTTGGCCAACAGCTGGAAAGGGTGTTAGAAAACCCAAGCAAAACTCACTCTTAATGCATGGAAGCCGCTTTAAGAGTGGAGCTTCTGTCTTCTAAAACTTGCAAGGCTGTTTGAAGGTGAGCATTTAAAATTAAGAGGCAGTTCCTAAGTTGGGTGCGGTAGAGGAGATGGTTCTTTAGTCAGGGGAGATGTGCAGATGAAGGGAAAAGAAGAAAGATGCAGTTCTGTAGGCGTAGAACCAGGGGAATAAAGGAAAACCTTCACCCTAGGTAGATCTTTGAAGTATGCCTTTGTTTTCTGTGAAATGTTGTGATTTCCTAGAATCTTAGGTACACTTCTATGTTCAGGAGAAAGAAAAGGATCCAAATATGCCAAAATCTTAATTAATATTTGTTGAGAATTATACTTTTCATTTAGAGGAAAGAAGCAAATTATAAGAAAAAAAATTATTAGTATAAATATTAGAGAGTTGATCACAGGGTAGTGATGGGTACCTCACCTAAAGGAGCGTATACCTTTATGAAAAACATTGTCCTGGATGAATTTTTTTTCTTCTCCACTAAATGTATTGTCCCATTGATTTTAAAAAATAAAACCAAAGATGTATTTACCTGAGGAAGACATTGATCCTGAATGATAGTACAGTCATATCTAACAGTACAGAAAATCTTTTTAAAATCATACTTAAAGATGTTTTGGACTATTTAAAGGGTAATTATTAAAAATAATTATCTAAAAATGCTGAAGCCATACTGAGAACATATACAAAGTAGTAAGGGTAATTTTTATCTTTTGGGTAGCAGCTTGAATGGTTACATTAAAAAGAAAAATGTGGGCAAACTGAATAGAAAATTCTTGACTGAAAGCTTATTTAGCTTACACTATCCCCTGCCTCCCCCGCCCCCCAAGATATTTTATAGTAGGAGACTTGGTAGTTATCTTTGGCTGCTCAGTCCTACTTCAAGACACCCAGGGGGAACATTTGGACATGACCAGCTTGATCTGGTTAGAGGGGGGAAGGAAGGCAAAAGCCACACAGGGTGCACATTTGGCTCACCCGGACAACCAGGGCGTTTGGAGTGTTCAGACAATGTGTGTCCAACAATGCCCTATTCGATGGCAGAATTTACAATCAGCTAGTGATTTCCTTGTTTGGGGAATTAGTGCCATGTAAACATTCTATGATGTCTTTTGGCATACAGAATTTCTGAATAATGCTTCTGTATCCACTGGATGCTTGTATAAATTCAGCTCTTTTTGGAGCAGTAATGAGTTGGGCCAATGGAAAATGCGAGGCTAGACTTTCTTCAAGGTCCTCATGGCTCTGAGAGTCTATGGAGCCGTATTGTGAGGCTGCGGTTTTCTTCCCAGTTGCTAACTGCCCTGCAGACAGGCTAAGTGGGCCTTTAAAATCTTCAAAGAGTTAATGTGTTACATTCTACTGCTTGTATCTTTCTCAGGTCAGACCTTAGGTACTCAGAGGTTTGGTTTTTTTCTTTTTAATCACTTTCAGAAATTTCTAAATTTCTATCATCTCCATCAAGGATGCCTTGGTTTGCCCTTTTCAAATTCTGGAATGATATTATATAGGAAAATGTCTCATTTTCATCTTTGATTCACTTTTGCTTTTTCAGAAAAGGATGAGTTGGTTATAGCGGCTGACTGGAAGCTAGGTGGTGGCTAGCTCTCTGCCTTCACCTTGGACTACAGGGGCTTCGAGAATTCTGCCACCAAGCCACTCCTCTAAGTCTGCAGTAGGACAGGAACATTCCTCTAGGCTGCAATATTCTTACACAATAAGCAGTGAGTCTTTTCTTGCTGCTATTTACAAGTGGAGTCGTCACAGGTACTTCATTCAGTTTTGTTGTCTGTTGTCTTTATTCACATGCTTCAGCTGCCTGCTCTGTCCTGTGTTCAATAACTCAAAATGTCTTCTTCTTCCCTGGGTCTAAACTGAGCTCAGTCACCTTGGGCTTCTGGAGAAATCACTTTTCCTACTGGCTCCTACTTTGACAGAGATTGTAATACAATGAGGAAGATCTCAGGCTCCAGAGATAGGCTGCCTGGGTTTGAATCTGAATTCTGCTATTTTCTACCTATATGATGTTGGACAATTCCCTTAACCCCTTTGTGCCTCATTTTCTTTATCTGCAAAATGGGGATAATAGTATTATATAATCCATCTCATAGGGTTATCGTGAGGATTGAGTTCACTTATGTAAACTCTTTAGCATAGAGTCTGGCAAATTGTTGTTATTATTGACTGAGTTTCTCCCCAAACCTAACTCAGCCCTTGGTACTCAGTAAATCCTTATTGGCTGGTTGAGGTGGCTCATGCCTGTAACCCTAACATTCTGAGAGGCTGAGGCAGGAGGATCACTTGAGGAGTTTGAGGCTGTAGTGAGCTAGGCTGACACCACAGCACTGTAGCCTGGGCAACAGAGTGAGACTGTGTCTGGAAAAAGAAAAAATAAATCCTTATTAAATATATATATCTAAACTATTTTCCTTTTCCCCTGGCGATCTCCTTTGGTCAGTCCTCTCCCCCAATTTTCTATAGTTTTCTCAACAAAGAGGACTCTTCAGGGAGATCTCCAGCAAGTCTTTACCCAAGTCTCAATAGGACACACCACCTACTAGCCTCAATCCACACAGGCAGGGAGAAAAAATGACATAACACACAGTTCTGGTCATTATTAAGGGACAAGTGCAATCTGCTTTTTCTCTTTGGAAATTAGAGCAATGCTTCTTTTTTCCCTTTTCTTTTCTTCCTTTCTTTCTTCTTCTTCTTTTTTTTTTTTTGAGACAGGACCTCACTCTGTTCCCGAGGCTGGAGTGCAGTGGTGTAATCATAGCTCCCTACAACCTCAACTTCTGAGCTCAAGCAATCCTCCTGGCTCAGATTCTCGAGTAGCTAAAACTACAGGCATGCACCGCCACCATGCCCAGCTAATTCTTTTAAAGTTTTTATAGAATTGGGGTCTCACTATGTTGCCCAGGCTGGTCTCTAACTCCTGGCCTCAAGTGATCCTCCCTTTTCCCAAAGTGCTGGGATTACCGATGTGAGACACTGCACCCCACCATAGTGCTCTATGTTCTAGATCTTCCCCAGAGTCATCTTTATTTTTGACACCCTCCAGAGAGTGGCAAAAGTTGTGGTACTTGATTATTTCCATGAATGGAGGACACACCATGAATGCACAATCATTAGAGAATGATTTCAGAGTCACTCCTGCAGCCTCCAGAGTGGAGAATTTTTTACTTTGTTTTACCAGCCAGCTGACATTTCTGTTGAGACCTCCAGTAAGATGGTAAAAACTGGATCCCTGGGGCCCAGCACCAAAGTTACAGTCCCTGCTAGAGGCAGGGGAGGGCCATGAAGTGGTAAGAGAGGCTGGCCACACCTCATCATTTATCTGGGATGGAATGAGCTCATCTGATGGAGGGGCTTAATCAGTGCAAGAAGCTGAGGCTCACTTCGTCCTTATCCTTATTTGCTAGTAAAGGAGTCAATTAGTGTTAATTGTGTTGGCAATTTAGAACACCCACCAGAGAATTGATCCAAGACAATTCTGTGATGACCCCTCTGTTGCATCTTAGTCTCGGCCATTACTCATAGTCAGGGAATCAGAGCAATAGGAAATGTCCTTTGGTCAGTGAAAATAAACATGTGCTCTCTTTCTCAAACGTTATAGTGCCTTAGGCGTCAGTTTTTAATATTGTACATGCAGTGACCTGACAATACACTCTGCCACTGATAGAGACATAGGTGTGGAAGGATCAGGGCTGAGCTGAAGGAATACATTTTAATATCAGGATGTTCACAACCTTCTCTCCTCCCTCTCTAGCCTGCCAAAGAGTATCTTGTTATTGACAGCCCCATTTCCTAACCCCCACCCCATACCTAAAGCAGCTAAGTCAATCTACTTAATAAAAGGAGGGAGGAAGGGAAAGAAGGGGAGGGGGAAGCCTGGGAGTTATGAGGGATGGCAGATAATAGAAGAGAGAAGAAAAAGGGATATAAGTTTTATTGCTGGAGTTTTGAATTTGATCACCCTTAATGTCCTTGGAGAGTCACTAGTAAAAATGGAATTTTTTACTTTATTATTTACTTACTTATTTTTCCTAGCGGGGTGTTCGTCTTTAAACATGACGTGGCTCCCTGGACAATGTGCACCGCTGCTTCATCAGGGTCACACCAGCAACAGAAATAGGATGCAGGCAGTCTGACAGGCGTCTAGCTCTAGAACTGTTCAGAAACGGGGGTGGTAGGAAGGAAAATGACGTACCTTCTCTGGCCCTCACCCACCCCAGTGACTGGAATGCCTGTTTGGCTTGTTCCTCCGCCCTTGAACACGCAGATCCTTCCTAGTTTCCCCATTCCCCTATATTCGGCAGTAACTAGATTGATTGTACAGGGAGAGCTGGATTTTGTAAGAGGGAGGAATTTTACTGAAGAAGTCCCCTGCCTTGCTACCAACTTGGTTACAGTCGCTTAAATACTGTAGCTATTCCTGCCTTTGTGCCTCAAGGGCTAAAGTGGGACAAGGCTGGTATTTTTGGTGATGAGGAAACACTTTTGTTCAGGGAGGCTGGGTGACTGTTGAACTGGGACAGAGGTCACAGCAGAGGTCACGCTGCGACTCTAGGCAGTGGGGGGTTGGCTTTGGGTCGGGCGTCCCGTACCCCCGACTCTGGAAACGCCGCGGAGGCCTCGCAGCTGCCGGCGCACTTGAGGTTCGCACTGCCGGCTCCCCGGAGGGGGGCACCCGGGAGCCGGCGCCCGAGGAACCGAGGCCCACGCGGGAAGGTCGAGCTCGCCGGTGAGGTCACGGTTGCCATGGCTCTGGGCAGTGACGCGCGTCGGCACGTGACCAGCGGTTGCCATGGCGCCGGGCGCCCGGCGGCGCGAGCGCCCCGCCCCCCGGAGTGACGTCCGTCGCCCCTCCTTTCCCCCCGCCCTCCCCCTCCCCCTCCCCCCGAGCCGGCTCCCCGCGGCCCCGGAGGTTTCACTGCACAACAAGATGGCGGCGGCGGCGGCGAGCGGAGCTGGCGGGGCTGCCGGGACCGGGACAGGGGGAGCCGGGCCGGCGGGCCGCCTGCTGCCTCCGCCCGCGCCGGGGCCCGCGGCCGCCCCGCTGCCGTGTCCCCGGCGGCTGGCCCGCCGCGTCCCCCTGCCCCGGCCTCCCGCGGACCCATGCCCGCCCGCATCGGCTACTACGAGATCGACCGCACCATCGGCAAGGGCAACTTCGCGGTGGTCAAGCGGGCCACGCACCTCGTCACCAAGGCCAAGGTACCGGCGCCGGGGGCCGGGCGGCTGTCGGGCTGCGCAGCCCGGGACTGTCCGAGCGCGGCGGGGCCGGGGAGGTGTGCGACCCCCAGGCTGAGGGTCGGGCGCGGCGAGCGGGCGCAGCGTGCTGGGGAGCGCCGGGGCCGGGCCGGGCGGGGGCCGCCTGGGGTGCGGGGAGCGAGGCGCCGGGGACTGGGGGGACCCGAGAGAGGGAAACTCCGCGGGAGAGGGCGAAGGGGGCCGTTGAGCACTGGGACCCGGGACCTGGGCACCCAGGCTTGGGGAAGGGTCCTCAGGGCAGTGTGCAGGGTAGAAGAGGGATGACTGGAAAGAAGGGGTTGGAACTCTCAGGGGGTCGGGAGGCTGTGAGCCAGGAAGACTCTGGAACTAGCAATTAGGAAATCATAAGGGAGTGAGGGCAGAAGCGTACGAAACGTGGACCAGGAGGATGGGGGAAGACAAGGGTAAACTGGCAGACCCGGGCTGACGAGGGGCGCCAGGACGGTTGGGGCACGGACCGGGGGTGCGTGGCGGTGCAGGGTCCTGGGAGGTCCGAGGAACCTGGTGGTGCCTTAAGACAGATAGGAATCCGCATTTGATCGTCTAAGACTGATAGATGGAGCAAATAGGAGCCTGAGGAAAGACATGGTTATTGGAGGAAGCAATGGAAAAAATGGGGAAATAAAGGGGGAAAATCGCCTTCCTTGTCGGCAGGAGGGGCCCAGTGAACAGAGGCCCTGGGGGGCCCAGGTTTATGGTGGCACAAGGAAATCAGGGGTTAAACAATTTGGGAGAGCTGATTGCTGGTTATTTTTGGTTGTTTGAGGGTCGGGAATTGTGGGCTTTGTAGAACCCAGGGTGGGCTTTCAGTGGTGGGGGGAGAGCTGCAGAAGCCAGACACCCGGAGATTACACACATGGGGCCCTTTGGTTCCCAAGGGATTTGAGGAGCTGTAGGAGTGGAACTGGCCAAGGTCAATTTGGAAGCCATATATGTATACATATAAGATTCTCTTTTTGGAGGAAATATGGGTAGCACTTTCATGTAGCCTTCTTCACTGGGAATATTGGAATCTAAGACATCAGGAGGAATCTTTTGGTCTTGATAAAATCCACAAAGGCCATTTTACTCCAAATTTTCCTTTGCTCAGTATTTCACTTGAATGAATATTTCTAAGGTAGTCATTCATTACGTTTGAAACTGCAGTTTGTGTTTTCCCTCAACCTGAGGAATGAAGAACCTTTACAGCTGTTGCTGCCTCCTACCAAAGCCACATCAATTCCCCTTCCTCCTCAGCCTGGCTTCTGGTTATCATCACCTACCTTGTTTTTTGCTTTTATGGCACTGGCTTGATTTCAGAAACCAGTGACTTATCTAGGCCTTCTCTCCTCACTTGCAACCTGAAGTTCCTTTCTTGCCCCCTTTCTGTCAAAGACTACAAGGGGCCCTTCTTACCAGGGTGGCAGAGTGGGTGGCTGTGGAGAATTGATTGGTCAGTTTCACTTCCTCTGGAGGGCCCCCTTCTTTTTGTCAGTTTTTATCCGAGGGCCTCAAGTCTGCAGGTCAGAGCTGAAGGAGATACCGAAGTCTAGAGCTCCCTGACATTATTACCCTCAGACCCTGAAAGGGAGCCACTGAGCCAAGACTCTGGTGTTACCGCCTCACTCCTGAGTGTTTCCCATCCTGTTTACTATTATCCAGTTCACATTTATATTTACAAACAATGTGCCTTGTTCCTTTTTGGTATTTCTTTCTTTTTTTCTCTCTCTCCCTCTGTTCTAATAATCACATTGTGCTCCTGTGATTATTTTGCTCTGACCTCTAGGGGATAGACTGTGAATTTAACTGGTTGCCTGGTGTATGGTCTCTGATTTAAGGAATTTTGAATCTTCCAGCCCTTGGATACACCAAAATATTGATAAAGAAAATCTGTGACAGACAGGGTTGAATGTTTTTGTAAACGTAATTACAAACAGTTGATTCTTGGCTTTATGTATAAAAGAGACGTTTCTATCGTCAGTAGTCAGCAAAGCCAGTGCCTAATTATGGCTGGTCTACCCGCTTTCTAATTTTCGTATGTGTGTTTTCCATAGTTTTTCTCTGAGACCTTGGTATCCTTTAGGACTGTAGTGTTTTAAACATTGGCTTGTTTACAGACGGGTGTCACTGTTTATGTTGGTTTTTATCTTTGATCATTTGTGGTGTGCAGTTATGTAGTTCTTATGTATGGAAATATTCAGTCTTGAATGAGACTGAAATGGCTTGGACAATGAGTTGCATGTGTGGAACCACACTAGCATTCATTTGTGTTTCTGTAGCAGTGTGCAATTTCCTGGTTACAGTTACAAGTGCCCTATCTTTTGCTGCTTAAATTACTCTGATGACATGAGTGAAGCTTAATTCACAAGGAGTTGTCATGTGCTTTGGGTGCACGATGAGCATATTTTGGCCTGCTCCATGCTTATCTGAATCCACTTTGGAAGGGGTTTTCAAACACTGACAGCTTAGATGTGCCTAACAGCTGTTGACATACAGTATGATGGCCTATTAAGGCTATGGTTTGGTTATATAATGACAGAGAAGTCTGCATAGTTATTAGAAGTTGCAGAAGCTGCTCCTTCAGTTAACTCAGGTAGATAGATTTTTCTTCCCATGCACTGTGGTGTTTATCTTACTTCTGCAGTAAGGTCAGTTATTTGACCAAAGAGAGTTATTTTTCCCCTATCTCTTTCCAGAATGTATCATTTGTTGTTTTGTCCTTTTGAGGTGTGTGATTATTTTCTCCTCTCTTTTTTCCCTTGTAGGTCACTGAATGGTCTAGGTTTCCTTGTAACCATATATAACAATCAGGCTGATATTATTCAGATGATAACTTGTGTTGACTGAAGGCAGTTAGGTAATAGGTATTTTCTGAACATGAGAGAAATAATTATGATCCTCTTTTCTTACACACATTACCCATTCCAAGGACTAAGAGGCTAAAGTAAACTTCATTTATTGACTAGGCTACTGCATTTCATCCAATAATAAGTGGCTAAGCTGGCCCTTTCCCAATTTCTAAGTTTCAAACCTCCTAGAGAAGGATGGGGGGGGGATGAATAAAACCAGTAGAGAAAAGGAATTATTTTCCTATTTAGTTGTTGGTTACTTTTGCAGCACAGCATTCATGAGCTCAGACTTCATACTGGCAGCACTGCAGTGCTTAGAGCGTCACTGCAGAACAGTTAACAGGAGAGAATATTAATCTGTGACATACTTTGGTCAGCAGCTCACCCTGGCTATCTTTGTCCTACCTGCTTTGATTTCTGTCTTTTGGAGGAGCCTTAACCTGAGATTCTATGGCTCTGTCTTTTTGGTGGGATACTATAAAATATTAAAGAGATTAAAAAAAGATTTTTTGCCTTCAAATTGCTTGTATCTGTTGCATGTGCCTAATATACCTTTACTAGTTGGACCAATAGGAGCAAAGAGTAGATATGTTTTGTATGCATTTTAAAAGTGTGCATGACTGGAAAAGTCTTTGGTCACAGATAGTTTAAGCATATTTTAACAAATACACATATATATGTATTTGTTTTTGTATATGTATTTGTATTTGTGTGTGTGTATATATATACATATATATATATACACACACACACATATATATATATATTTGTCACTGATTTGTGGTAAGAGCTTCAGCTTTGGATAAGACTGTTGGGGTTTGAATCCTTTGCTGCTTAATAGTTGGGTGATCTTGGGCCATGAGAAATTATGTAACTTCTCTGTACTTGGATTTTCTTATCTGTAAAATGTGATGGCAATAGTACTTACCTAACAAGTTTGGATGTTGTGAAGATTAAATAAGATAATATATATGTAGAGCTCTTAGAATAGTGCTGTGCATGTAGTAAAGTAAGTGTGTAATAAATGTTGCCATCATCATCGTCATCATCATCATCATCAGGTGCTGTAGTAACAAAGATGAGCAAGACATAGTCCCTCTTTTTTGGTTTTTGCCCCTTGAGCACAGTTCCTGTGTGCATATGCCATTAGTTTTGTGTAGGTAGATGCCATCCTGATCATATGCTTTCATGGTAAAAAAAAAAAAAGGAGTTTGCTTTTCCTATGTTAAGGAAGTAAAGAAAACATAGTAGTTTGCTACTGTTTTAGGTGCCACTTTAAGAGAATTGGGTTTAATTCCTGTGGGGTGAGGGCTGGCAAATCTCATGAAATTGGCATTCTAAAATGTAATTTTTCATTAGTTAAACTTTTTTTAAAAAGCACTTTTGAGAGGTATTTGATGAAAACTGACTAACACTGGCTTTTGCTTTGGGCTGCCTTGAATTTTCAGTGAATTTTGTATAACTGATTTTTGTCATATTGATGATAGAGCAGTTTGAGTTCAGTCTTTTCTCCAGAGAGTCTCTTACATTCTGTGGAGAATATGTAGAAATCTTCCTATCAGTTTAAGAATACATTTGCCATTATGTGCAGAGTGTGCTACTTAGAAGGCCAAGGTCAGGATTCTTAACTTTAAATATTACACTGAGAAAACATTTTGCCCCATGACCCTATTCCAAATATTGACCAGCCAGGACAGATTTATGTTCTGTGTGGTTTAGTGCAAACTCGTTTCCATGAGGAGAACAACTGAAAGTGAGCTAAAAGCACTATTTTCACCTCTAAGGAAAAGTTTAATGAAGGAGATTAGATAGTGCTTTTGCCCATTAGAAAGCTGAAAACTTCACTGAAAGATTCATTGGTAAATGCAAGAGAATTGTGTTATAAAGAAATTGAAAGCAAGATTTACCTTAGTTACATTTTAGGATGATAGTTCCATTCCTAGACAATCTAGAAGTTACTATTGGGAACACACCTTCATTTTACACGTAGGGCTGCATCTCCCTGATTTAAAAAAAATAGAAGTGACTATTGAAAGATGACTGAATTCATTTTGATATAATTGTGATGGAGTTACTAAACTTTGCTGAAACTTTGGGAAGACTAAGACTGACTGA